GCCTCTGGCGACAACGAGCGAACGAAGATATCCAGAAAGAGTGAGGAAACCACCTGTGAGACTTGATCTCTAAAGTAGCAGTGTTACGGACAGATGTAAGGGTTAGAACGTACATTTACAGTATATAGATATACAGCAAAGACTGTTAATTATGACTTTAATGTTAATGTTAGGTGCAGCAAAGACTGGATATTGACTGAACAATTTTTAGTAGGGAGGAGATGTTATGGGTTACCTATGTTATTAGGATGCGCGCGCATTCACCATGTGTTCGGAATGAGTGCTTCTTGTTGAGTTATACACGAAATATAATATAGCTATTTAATAGAAAGCAAATACACAACAGTGTCCACAAATGGAACAGGATATACACTGACTTTCTCCTTGCAGATTCCTTCACGAAATTTCACGTAAGTTCAAAACGTTTGAAAGACCACACAGAAATATTGCATCTTGCAGTAATGACCTGCACATGAGGACATTAAGGCTGTACTGTGAATTTACATTGCGCATTTGATCACATAGAATTTTGTTTGTAGGCATTTTTACGTCGTGGCTTTGACATTAAAAGACGGGAAGAAAGGTCGATCTCCAGCAAGTTATGAAAACAACGAGTTAGTGACGTACGCCGAGGCAGAAAAATCAACCGACCCGAAACCTTATATCGCTGCAGTAGTAACATCAAAGAATGAAAACATATTTATACTTGGTGACGGCCGAAATACAAGTAATCCAACATCACGAAGATGCAGATCAACCTCGAGTGATTACTATAATGGTCCGTTGGAACCTGGCACTAACAACAGTATTTTTCAAAGGATTTTTATTAATAACAAGGTATGGTCTTTGTTGGTTATCACACTTTAGAAGTAAATATTTCCTGGTCTGATTTCTCTTCTAAAAGATATTTGGCATTGACACAGATGCCAAACATGGTAAGAACAACGTGATAAAGTCTTTTGTGTATCTATAACAACACTGATAAATTTTCATTTTCTTGCTTTACTTTAGAGTGAATATTACTCCACAGACTGGAGTTCTGCTTCAAAAACGAACGATCAACAACGACCACAAACAACGTCAAAAACGAACCACCAACAGTATATCCAGGCAAATAAGTTTACTGTATTCATAGATGAGTTAGGGTTAGATAGCAAAGTCACGAGTAAAGAATACACGGTTGATCGAGATGAAATCCATTATTCATAGAAATAATGGTTGTCTATTTATTCGGTGACAACTTGTTCTTTGTTAGTACTGTATATTCAAATATTTTTGTGTTTTCTGTTTCCCAGGTGGCCCTCGTGTATTGACCAACATGTCCAGTGGTGACATGAAGGCAAAGGAAGGTGATCTTGTCAACCTACTGTGTTCTGCTCAAAGTGAACTTCCAATTAATTTCAGCTGGAAAAAATACCAGAAGCCAATGGAAAGTTTCATGGAGAAGGAAAAGCCTCACCGCAGTTCTTTACTTGTTGTAACAGTAAAAGACCAAGCAAGTTTTGGAAAATATATTTGTCATATCCGAGATCAATTTCAAAGCACTACACATACAATTTCGATCCAGAAAGATACAGGTAATACTGCATTCGACTTATTCATCGTTCATAAATTTTATCAATCAAAATGTAATAGAACACAATCATTTCTGTTTTAAATGACTTGAATGATGGCGTGTACCAAAGAATCCATTTTCAGACATTCAAAATTAACGCGTTGTTTAATTTTTACATAGGTGAAAAATATCTTGCTGGAATTATAGTATTAGCAATTCTGCTGGTCATTTCGTTTGTTATAATTGCTTATTTCATCTATCAAAATCGTCGACGTAAATCATCAAAGGCAAACCCGGAGAACAAGAGCAAGGACAGAAATAATTCAAGAGATATTTATGAAAATCCTGACAATGATGATGCCAATTATGAACAAGTGGAAAATGAAGAGTCGACGTATACAGCACTAAAAAGACCTGGCCCTGGGGAGGAAGAAAATGATAATCACTTATATGCCCATCTAAATGAAGGACACACGGACTCAGGGCCGTCCTCAGGAAATTCTTCAGGGGGGGTGTAATTCAATTCAACCGACTGGTTCAAAAAAAATTTTTCCGGAACAAAATTTTTTTGTCGACCTCCCTCCCCCCCCCTCCCCCCCCGTCGCCAAAAAAAATTCGGTCAGTGTACCATTTTAGGGGTCCAAAAAAATTTTCCGGAACATTCAAAAATTTTCCGCACATAGCAAATTTTCAACATTTTTCTACATTTTTCCAAAATTTTTACATTTTTCCTCAAAATTTTCCTAAAATTCCCACCACGTTCTTGCCCTTTGCGCCAAAAATATTTAACCCAAATAGCAGTTCTACCGACTGAATAGCAGTCCTACCGACTGAATAGCAGTCCTGCCGACTGAATACAATTACTGGGGGGTGTCACACCCCCCCACACCCCCCCGTAGCTCCGGGCCTGCACGGACTACGTGAATCAGAAGGAAACTGGATTTTAAGGGGGCTCTGGTCCAAATCACGTCTGGTTTATCTAGTGAATAAGCTCAGTATAGAAAAACAAGTCAGGATACATTTGTTAAATAACCAAACTGAATGTTTTCGACTTAAATAGAAAAGTATCAATCTGTAATGACTTAGACTGCTGTCATTATATCCGTTAAATACATTAACTATGATTTATACTATGCATGGCCAGATCCTTGCTTTGGCCCACATTTTGGTAGAGTGAACAAACATTAGCTGGCCTGGGTCAGAAAATCTGGACTCACTGGAATTGGCCTGAATCAAGCCTTATGGTAATATAAACAGTGTAAAAGTTTCACAATCACCTCGAGTTCTTCAAGTGGTGTGCAGCAGATGGTGGTCAACGTCAGAAAAGTCGACACTGGCAGGAGCAAGGAAAAGAAACTAAATCTCTCTTTTACTTATTTTGTCATCAAACAGACTGAACAGTCTAGACCTCAAGATCACTACAAATATATGACAAGATTTGACATGATTTTCTCACTCTGATATCACTTCAGGTTGCCCACCATCTGCTGAACGATAGTGATTAGTAAGACACATCAATATTAGACAAGGGAGAATCAATACGTCTGCAAGAATGTTCCAAATTATTTGTTCCCAACATTAAAATTGCTAGAACATAACATCACACCTGGTTGAAACTGCTTTTTTGTGCATATCTGAGAATAAAAAAAACTTGTGAAAATAAAATCTTTGACTTGACTAAACTTCTTGTTCAAAAATTACTTTGAATATGAATAGGCAGACACATATTGTTTTCCATTTTGTGTTAGCTAAAGTTTTTTAGCTTTCGTAAATGTTGCCATTGAACCACAGATCCACGACAGACATCAATAAAACATTAAGAAATGTTTGATATTTGTTACTCGTGCAATTACAGCCAATTATGATTATTTATGGTGAGTTTGAACGAATATTTATCTGATCTTGCTTCACTACATTGATTCGTTTCGTGTTTCGCGTTTATAAAGTAAATTCCAACATCTTGTTCCCAAATTATGAGGTGTTTTCTGGATTAGAGAAGATGTTACCAAAGTGTTATTAGTTGGTAATAGTCGTATGGATTTTCCTGTCACTACAAGGTATGTTTTCTCTCGTTGATAACACGTATTTCAAATATGCAGCGCTGCTGTATTTACTTAACTAATAATAGTGGTAATGATTATATCTCAAAACTACTAAAACTACAACCTTGATGTGAAGGATTCGAATAAAATCCACTGGCACTAATTTTGCCAAACTCTGCCGTTGTGAAGTTAAATTCTTCAGGAATGGATCAGAATAACTGCTTGCAATAAACAATGTAAAGCAGCGACTGAACAGTCAACCAGTTCAGTTAATTAGCTTGCATTAGCTTGATGCGTATTTAGACAAATGAAATATACTTATGTGATATAAGTCATATAAATGAGCTGTGAAAGACATTGTTGGACACTGTGCCATCAACAACAATATAGTCTAGCCTAAGTAACTGACATGAGCGTAATAAACGCAAGCAAACAGACACGCAACGGGATTCATTGTTTACTTCGTTGTTTATTAAGGATTTGCGAAGCAAAATCCTTTATGTCATCGGGTGTGTAAGATAGATAGATAGATAGATAGATAGATAGATAGATAGATAGATAGATAGATAGATAGATAGATAGATAGATAGATAGATCATTCATAGAAATTAACGTTGCACACTTGAGAGTGGCAAAAATTACAGTGCGTTGTTCCTTCAATATAAGTCCATGATTAAAAAATGCGAGGTACATTACCGCAAATAATGTTAACTAGCAAAATAATTGAAGATTTCTGATTAGGATACTTTTTCGCTAGTCTCCACATGTACAACGGTTCAAGATTTGTATGAATTTCCTTGTAGAAAACAAGTTCCTGTTTGTTGCATATACCGTTCTTCCATTTTTCGACCTCCAATTTCTTAATTTCATTGTATACAATCCTTTTCTATGCAGCTTTTGATCCCTGTCCAACCGAAGCTTTCGTACATATTTCCTCGAGAATTTTTAGTTGTTTTCAATTCGATTTCCGAGTGTAAAAAGTATCAAATTTTCGACGCGAAATTCTAAACACTTTATTTATATTTTGCAATAATTGCCGAGCATGCGCAGAACTCACGTTGGAAATTCAACGTGAATCAATTCGATTTCTCCAGAGCTATGCCCACCCTTAACCTGCGAACGGGCATGCTCGGGGAACGAGATTTCATTAGTGGGACGGTGGATATAATTTTACGGACTCGCCCCAGTCCTAAAAGGTTTATCGCGGACGTTGCCGTCGCGTTGACGTTCCGTTTCCCAAACTCACTGTTCCGACAAGGGCCTTCACTCGAAACGCCGAAGTTCTCCTTGTATTTTTCAGGTAGTTGCATTCCTATCAATCCGAAGCTTTCTAACACGAATTGCGTATTACGTATTGCACCTCCTCTTTCCGTGTGCAGCGCCTCCCGCTTTCAGCGATTTCTCCTAAGAAACAGAATTTCTGTATAGTTTTGGGAATTCTTTTAGGGAATAGTAAAAAGAACGAACCTTATAATTGAACCATTTGATTTTAACAATTATTCAACCGAAGTGCATGGCGATGAACAGTGCAAGGATATTCACCGAGACGTGGAAATTTACCATATGCTTTGCTTGCACATGACGTCACTACGTGTCATATAGGCGCCATCTTGGTTGATTTTAAAGTTTTGTCCAGCCGTTTACACCGAAATAGTTGAGTTACTTTAATATTTTTGTTTTGAAAACATCTTACTGTATTCATGGATTGTTTACGATTTCTGGCACAATACGACAAAGAATGAAGAATGTAGATTTTTAGTTGCCACGAAAATCAAACAAGATGGCGTCGATTGCAAACGAGCAATACCATAACAAAACAAAAATAGTCAAAAAGCAACGAAAAGTCTGACCATTTAGGGACAACTCCTGTAATAGTTGTTAACAAAACGCCGGTATTTCTGTATTAACAAGCTTATAACAAAACATTGTAGCTTTTTTTGTTTTTGTTCGGATCTGAGCAACCAATCAAATTGCGCGAAAAGTTCTATCGAGTGTATGCTGATAATTATTATTTACTAAACATTTGGATTGTATATTCTGTACGTAAGACATTCAGAGAAAGTTTTTGGAAATTTTCAGTTTAGTCCTTGAATAGTCCTTGATATGTCCTTAATTTTTTTTGTTGGAACCTGCAAGAACCCTGTTATCAATTGATTATAGCGTAACAAACCTCAACATCCCTGGAGGAATTTGAAAAGAAAGTCGATAAAGAAAAAAAAAATCATTTAGGGAAAAAGTAATGTAAGCGCTCAAACTGACCGCTGCAGACTGAATAAAATTAGAGATGCAAAATTTATTAATAAGGGGCACGGGGTGGCAAGGGCTGGGCTGAAAACCAAAAAAAAGAAACGCCATCACTTATGTCACTGCTCGCCACGGGAAAGCTTGCTAACAATTTGTAAGGATGGTCCAAAGACACTTTCAAAATTGCTTGTGACTTGACTTGCTACTTGGAGTGATTGAGTGATTGACCTATGCCTTTACTTGATCTTGGGCTTGGAATAAATCACCCGTGACTTGACTTGACTTGAGCATAACTTGACACTCGGACTTGCAAAAAATAGACTGCGAGCGGTCCCTCCTTTCCACGGATTTAGCTTCCCGGGCGAGCCAGGGGAAAGGAGGGTCTGCCGACAACACATCAAGAAATGAAATACGCCTACTTTTCGCTCTTGTCAAGTTGGCTCCGCCTTTGCATAAATAAACATTACTTATATCCAATTAAATCTATCCAATAGGAACCGTTAATGTCATGTTTATTTACAAGATCAACATTCAGTCTGAAAATCAGTGTTGCCAATCAGATTTTTCACATTTCACTATATCAGTGACTAAATTTCAATATTTTGCCGCACATTTCACTACATGGCAGGTTTTTGTTAGATATTGACCTGATATCAACCGCTAAATGATAACAAACCAGCAAGAGTGTCTTTTTATTAACAGAATAACAGATAATGTAACAGACCAACAAAAAATAAACAATTTCACAATTTTGTTTTTGACCTGGCCACGAATCGGAAAAATTCTGCATTCTCCAAGTTTTTGCCTTCTTCGAATTAGATGACCCTTGCCCCGGTTCCATGCACGTGCTGCTGGTCTTCAGAATATTCGTCCGCATCAATGTTGTTTGTTGTCGACGCCATATTTGCAAATTCAGAGTTGAATAAATTAACTAAAATAATGTAGCTCAGTGGCCTTGTGCTGACGTGAAACTGGATACTAATGTCTGGGCCCCCGGTAACTCGCGGTAATTTGTCTGTGGCACGGGGGGAACAGGGACTATTGTTTTTCATGTTTTCTTTACGAGTACGGGAAGATGTCTAATATGTAAAAAATATTTGTTTGTTTGTCTGCCAAGTTAATATTTTCCTTAAACTTTTCAGCAAGGTTTATTTAAAATTTTCATCAGCAATTAAGCATTTCACTACATTTCGGCAATTTCAAATTTTCTTCACTACATCACTACGCTCGGACTGATTTAATTACAAATAGTGAAATTTCACTACGAGTGCATGGCAACGCTGCTGTATATTATTTATAGCGCGATTACTACATACCAGATTTGATTGACAGGCACATCGATTTCGACCAATGGCGGTAATTTTGCGTTGTGTGGGCAACGCGTATTTCGTTTCTTTATGTGTTGTCGGCAGTCCCTCCTTTCTTCCGAGGGACTGCTCGCTGTCTAGCAAAAAATGACTCGTGACCTGACTTGATCATGACTTGCATAAGATCTGTTGACAACTTTGGTAACCAACAATCAGTGCAGTCATATCATTTGGAAGGACACGCTTTACTAAACAGATGGTCTGATGGTCATCTTGTAGTAAGCTTTGCTAACTAAAGTTGAACATGTACATGTGATGCTGTTGGAAAGATGTCGCGCTTAGCTTATATCACCTTTAGAAGTGTTACGCCTTTGGCAAAGGTTGCATGATTTGCCGAATAATATCGAGATTTTGTTGGCATCCCACTCGATTGAATTTGACTGAATTTGCATAGATGGAAATTATTGAGTGTAAATTTTGTATACATTTATTAGACCTAACCATGAACGAACAGTTTACAGCTGTTCCTGCTTAGGGACGGACCATTAGATATTTGAGGGGCGGGGGGTAAATACCAAAAAAAATTCGCGCACAGAAAAAATGCAGAAAAAAGTATCCTGCACAACAAACCTATTGAAAAAAAATCGAGCAAGAACTAGGGCTGATTTTTAAAATCGTAATGCAATTATTCTAAAACATTAAAATGATGTTTTTACGACAATCGAAAAAATTTACGCCTTCCGTCCCTTAGGTTTAATAAATGGGCAAAAGCCAAAACCCTTCAATTTGATTTCGATGAACAAGCCAATTCAGAATCTCGACTGCGCATCAAAATGATTCATTCTGAATCGAGATTGAATATAGATTGTAATGGTGATTCCAGCTGTAGACTAAATTTTGAACTAGGCAAGAAGAAAAAAATCCATCACCACAGCTAGAAAGAGCATGTTAAAATTAGTAAAATTGCAAAGTTTGGTTGTGAAACGTTGTAAAATGAGGAAAATATAGCCCTACGAAATTTGCAAATTTTGTATTAATTCAGTGTATTACGTATGGGAATTTGCACCACTTTCGGCCCAAATGTGCTGCATTTTCCCGCGCGTAATACGTATACAAATTAATATCACAAAATTTACAAATTTCGCAGGGCTATATTTTCTTTCCCAGCTCTTATTTTCCAAACTTTGTAATTTTGCTTATAACATGTTCCTTCTAGCTGTGCTGATGGATTTTGTTCTTCTTGCCTAGATCAAAATTTAGTCTATAGCTGGAATTGCCCATTGAATCAACATGCATAGCATTAAAAATATGTAGCCTATATATGGCAATGTGAAAGTATTGAACTCATGTTCAATCCATATTCTTTGTGTTTTACTTACATATAGTCACACGGCAATAGAACTGTCATATAGTTAATGTTGCTCATATTTCGTCTTGTCTTTAAAGCTAAATAACGAAAGGTACACGTATAAGGTATTTTCTGATTTAAATCTAGTCAACCTTGAGGAAAGCATACAGTATCTCTCTCATCTACAGAGACTTTTAATGGATTAATTTGGAAAGAACTTCGTAATTACACTAGAGTAAAAAAAGACGAAAGTAACCGCTAAAATACCGAATTCTAGCGGTTGCGTTCATCTTTTTTTTACCTTCTAGCGTAATTACGGCTTTGTTTCATCGAAGACTTCATGTTTTATATAGTTCAACTTCAATTTATCCTGACGCAGAATTCGAACGCGTCATATATTTGGCCGGATGCGCAATCGAGAGTTACGCGGTTTGGGAAAGAAATTGGGATTTTATGTAAATCTTCTTAATACATGGGAATTGTTTCTATTTTTCAGATGGAGCTACACTGTACCTTTCTAAACCTAGAGTTACTCTAGCTATGTAAGTGTGGAATTACTGGCTAACAACTCCAAAAATCATGTGGACCCAGTTATCCTGGAGGCCAACGACTCCCGGCGAAACGCATGTGATCGTGGAGCAAGTTTAGAGACCTTACGATTTTAGGACGGCAACGGCTACCAATACAATGTTAAGAATGTTAACGCCTTCCTGTCGAAAATAAAAGACATCCACGTTGAACCTGATGAAATAACGATTTCCTTCGATGTTGTCTCTTTGTTCACTTCCATTCCACTTGACACAATACTTCGTGGCAAATAAAGACAGAACTTAATATACAAAACATTCTTGATTTACTTGACCTATATGCTAATTTTAACTGAATTCTGCTTTCAGAACAGTTACTACCGACAAATCTCTGGCACTCCTATGGCTATGAGGTCGCCACTTTCCAGTTTCCTTGCTGAGGCAGTGATGCAAGATCTGGAAAGTAAACTGAGTTGTTACAAACAATGACGACATTAAAACATGAGACAGGTATGTACGTAGACGATGTACTTGCTACTGTTAAAAAGGACAAAACAGACGACATCCTACAAACAATCAACTGTATAGATCATTGAAAAGAATTTAGTAATTGACAATATATATGAGTAATTTAGACATTGTCCTCGCTCTGTTTACAACGCCAAATCACAGATTTTCACGTCTTGATACAACGGATGCATTCCAAGCCGCAACAATTGCAACTTCAAACCGGGTTTAGCAGAACTCTTCCCAACCATAAAATCCATGTCTTCAACTTCTAAAAGTGTATTAAATTCATACGATTGATAATATACCACCAACTATCTTTACTATCATTTATTTGAAGGAGTTTAATTGTTTTGGCCGTCGCTGTCCTAAAATCGTAAGGTCTCTTTTATCGCCGCGACGACGACGGTTATTCACATAATGATATTCAAAATACTTGCGATAGATGAACCAGGCGGAAATCGTAATCTTATAAGATAAATATTACTATGCCCAGCAGAAAATACGCAAAAGAGCCATAACAAAAATATAGTTTAAAATATTTATTAGAAAGCTAATTAACGTTTCGTCTTTAACTTAAGACATCTTCAGAGCAATGACATACAAGCGGAAAACACAGAAATATGAATAAATTACAACTATTTACAACTAGATATTTTATTACAAAAGTATAAAGAAGAATGGATCAGAGTAGAAGTAGAGGGACCGAACTGCCTTGTAAGTTGAGAGAGGGTTCGAATTTGTTAATGACAAGACTTTCTCGAATGAGCAGTTCGTCTGGAGAAGAGCAACAAGAAATAATCTTAAAGTCATTAAGAGAGGCGGAGGGACCATGCAGTGCTATCAAGTTGGGAAAGGATACTAGATATGGTCGGATTGCTGCTTTTACTGCCTGTTAGAGGAGAAACACCCAAGTGCTCAGATATACGTGTGTGCAAGTGACGGACCGTATGGCCCAAGTACGTCGCGGAAAAGCAACGACACGTGAAAGAATACACAGCACAAGATCTTAAAGCCTTAGGAATTTTGTCCTTAAAGGCGAAAAGTTGAGACAAAATAAAGTTGGACGAAAAACGAATCTAATATTAAGATGAGGAAAGGCTGAGGAACAAAGACGGGAGATTTGGGTGCGAATTTGAAGAGAGTGAGCGCCAGTATATGGAAGAGAGAAATATAGGACTTTCTTAGGAGCAGAATGAACAGCTGGTTTGGGTTGAGACACATTTTCTAAAAATGTTCGTACGCAGCGATCAAAACTGAAGACGAGTTGGATAACAATTCTTATTAAGAATCTGGCGATATAGTTCTAAATGAGCGTGAAATTAAAGTTCTCATAATTGGAGAAAGGACGAAAGAAACGATCTATAAGAGAAGAAATTAAGCTACGTTTATATTGAAAAGGAATAAAGCTACGGAAGTTGGTAAACAGACCTGCGAAGGTAGGCTTTCAATAGACGGAAGTTTCGAAAACACCATTCGTACGAGAAATGCTGATATCAAGAATCGCTGACATCCTAATATCAAATTCACCAGTGAAATTGAATCTAGTTCCACACTTCTCTTTCTTGATATCAGCATTGCTCGTAAGAATGGTGTTTTCGAAACTTCCGTCTATCGAAAGCCTACCTTCGCAGGTCTGTTTACCTACTTCCGTAGCTTTATTCCTTTTCAATATAAACGTAGCTTAATTTCTTCTCTTATAGATCGTTTCTTTCGTCCTTTCTCCAATTATGAGAACTTTAATTTCACGCTCATTTAGAACTATATCGCCAGATTCTTAATAAGAATTGTTATCCAACTCGTCTTCAGTTTTGATCGCTGCGTACGAACATTTTTAGAAAATGTGTCTCAACCCAAACCAGCTGTTCATTCTGCTCCTAAGAAAGTCCTATATTTCTCTCTTCCATATACTGGCGCTCACTCTCTTCAAATTCGCACCCAAATCTCCCGTCTTTGTTCCTCAGCCTTTCCTCATCTTAATATTAGATTCGTTTTTCGTCCAACTTTATTTTGTCTCAACTTTTCGCCTTTAAGGACAAAATTCCTAAGGCTTTAAGATCTTGTGCTGTGTATTCTTTCACGTGTCGTTGCTTTTCCGCGACGTACTTGGGCCATACGGTCCGTCACTTGCACACACGTATATCTGAGCACTTGGGTGTTTCTCCTCTAACAGGCAGTAAAAGCAGCAATCCGACCATATCTAGTATCCTTTCCCAACTTGATAGCACTGCATGGTCCCTCCGCCTCTCTTAATGACTTTAAGATTATTTCTTGTTGCTCTTCTCCAGACGAACTGCTCATTCGAGAAAGTCTTGTCATTAACAAATTCGAACCCTCTCTCAACTTACAAGGCAGTTCGGTCCCTCTACTTCTACTCTGATCCATTCTTCTTTATACTTTTGTAATAAAATATCTAGTTGTAAATAGTTGTAATTTATTCATATTTCTGTGTTTTCCGCTTGTATGTCATTGCTCTGAAGATGTCTTAAGTTAAAGACGAAACGTTAATTAGCTTTCTAATAAATATTTTAAACTATATTTTTGTTATGGCTCTTTTGCGTATTTTCTGCTGGGCATAGTAATATTTATCTTATAAGATTACGATTTCCGCCTGGTTCATCTATCGCAAGTATTTTGAATATCATTATGTGAATAACCGTCGTCGTCGCGGCGATAAAAGAGACCTTACGATTTTAGGACAGCGACGGCCAAAACAATTAAACTCCTTCAAATAAATGATAGTAAAGATAGTTGGTGGTATATTATCAATCGTATGAATTTAATACACTTTTAGAAGTTGAAGACATGGATTTTATGGTTGGGAAGAGTTCTGCTAAACCCGGTTTGAAGTTGCAATTGTTGCGGCTTGGAATGCATCCGTTGTATCAAGACGTGAAAATCTGTGATTTGGCGTTGTAAACAGAGCGAGGACAATGTCTAAATTACTCATATATATTGTCAATTACTAAATTCTTTTCAATGATCTATACAGTTGATTGTTTGTAGGATGTCG